CTCTCTCTCTCTCTCTCTCTCTCTCTCTCTCTCTCTCTCTCTCTCTCTCTCTCTCTCTCTCTCTCTCTCTCTCTCTCTCTCTCTCTGTGATCCATTCGGTCCATCTGATCACGCGTATCGATCACTCAACCGGCTTGCCACTAGCGAGCACGGAGAACTCGTCCAGGACCTGTGCCCTTCTCATCTACGTGGGAAAAGAGGGCCAAATGGCGSSCGACAAAAGGTGTGGCCGTCCGCAGCGTACTTTACTCTGTCAGCGGCTTCCCTCGACACCTCAACAATCGGAATCACCCCTTCATCGGGGTTCCTTCGCACCAGATCCTCCAAAKAAAGCCCAGTTGTACCTAACGATTCATTACCCAATCGGCTGATGTTCGGCAACATAGAGGTTCACCTCTCTCTCTCTCTCTCTCTCTCTCTCTCTCTCTCTCTCTCTCTCTCTCTCTCTCTCTCTCTCTCTCTCTCTCTCTCTCTCTGTGTCTCTCTGGTGTATGGTCTGTCCCCGGCCGTATCCGGTCATTCCCTATAAATGCACAATGCGGTTCGACCGCATCAGATCGATGGACAAAACAGCCAGCGCTCGGCTCACGATGCAGTATCCGGTCGCCCTGCGGCGGGGCATGAAGCAGTACAGTACTCGGTCATGTCGCAGAGGTGCTTAGTACGCAGATGATCCGACGCCCGAGAACTGTCACCGCTGCCACCATGGCGCACGCTGCACGTCATTGCGCGTAGTAGAGTAATGCATTGCCAGAGCAACAACCTGGTGTATCCTTAATCTGCCTTGTGATCTATCAGCTCTCAGATATTTTCTATCGAAGTATTTGACAGTCCTCAAATCTACTCTCGGCATATCCAATCCAGAGGCTGCCACGTGTCGCGAAACTAGCAATCCAGCAAAAGAAGTATTTGACAGTCCGGAGGACAGACTAATTCTCTCTGTCGTCCTTCACGTGCCTTCACGTTCTGTAGTACCTCAGCTCTCCATCACAGATGTGGAACAGCACAACACCAAAAAGAAAAGAACAAGAAAAAGAACGCTACGGCAGGACTGACTTGGGAAGGGGTGCAACTTCACAGAGCGGCGAGATCCTAGTTCACCGCTCTTCCATAATTTAGTGTGATACTTAAAACTGCTCGAGGTTTCGACTCAGAAACACACTGCCGTCCATGTGGCGGAATGGCACACACAATGTAACTGTCACTGCACAGCTCACGAGCTCATATCTTGTGTGTGCCATTCCGCCACATGGACGAGCCCCTAATATCTTGAAGCATATTAGGGGCTACACCCCTTCTGATTCAGAACGTAAGAAACCGAAATCCCAAGCATAGGGAATGCCGAGATCGTCTTCCTGTACTGGACTAGTCCAAGATCAAAGCGACGCTAAACAGCCTATTGCTCTTAAAGAGTGAATCTGAGCTGGACCAACTACAGATTCCTGCCGCTAAGTAGACGACAGCAAACCGCAACTGCGAACACATGGACAGGTACGATTTGCTTGCATTCTCTTTCTTTTTTTTTATAAAGGCATTCTTTTTCTTTTTTTTTATAAACGCATTCTCTTTCTTTTTTTTTATAAAGGCATTCTCTTTCTTTCAATTTTGACTGCGAGGAATCCAAAAGAGTCGCCACGTGATAATCGGCGTTCGCCAATGTTCGGTTCGCAAAATGGCACGACTGGCAAGCCTACGTACCCCCAATTAAGGAGAACATCTTCGACTGCCGCCGCCATGTTCTGCTGAACGAAGATATCATTCACGGGAAAGGATAAATGCACTCGCTTGGGAAGACTGCAGATCCTCCCCTTCCCGTAGGAGGAGGAGGTGCATTATCTCCGATCAACGGTTATATAAGAGCACAGGAACGGATGCTAATCCTTGCACCACCACACGTTAGCATCCTTTGGAATGTGTACCTTATCGACTGTATATGTGCGAGGGAGAATTATTCAGGACGTCCGTACGTCGCTGACTGTCGCATCGGATCCCTCTGTGTGTCCGTTCGCCGTTGTGTCTGCCTGTCTGTCTGTTCGCCTACCTGTAAGCCTGGTTACCGGTCTACCTCTGTCTATCTGTCTGTGTCTGCCTGCCTATTTTACCGTCCTGTCTGTGTCCGATAGCCTATCTACTCCCCCGCCC